TTTTTTTTTCAAAATAAAAAATTTTTTTTGGAAAATTTTTTTTTTGGGGGGGGAAAAATAAAAAAAAAAAAAAAAAAAAAAAAAAAAAAAAAAAAAATAGAAGTATCCTGTAAGTGGACAAACATTTTATTCACTACATTGTATGTGAACATAACTCGTACAGATATTTTGACACACACACAAACATACACACCTTAGCCCAGGTGTCCATGTCTTTGTACCTCCTGTAGCGGAGCCATCGCCTGCGACGGACACAGGAGTTCCACTTCTTGTCCTTAGTGTAAGTAGCAGGAAAATCCATGGCATACGTCCACCCCTGCAAACACAAACACTGAAGTTATTAATACAAGATGAGTGCAAGAGCAAAAAGGAAAATGAGTTCACCAAAACACTACCTCTTTTTCTGTGGGCTCTCCATCAAGGTTTTCATCCACAAACCAGTCTCCCTCCCACTCCCAGCTGCTGGAAGGGAGCTGGAAGCTGGCCATGGGTTGATGCTGCAGGCCTGTGATGTCACTCCACTGCCAGCGGTCACTTGGCAGCAGACGCTCTGAGAAACCGTCAACGGGATTCCATCTCTAAAAGAAAAATAGGGAGAAATTATTTCATTTTCATGTCTGTCCATCCATCCATCCATCCATCCATCCATCCATCCATCCATCCATCCATCCATCCATCATCCATCCATCCATCCATCCATCCATCCATGGTCTATAGCTGCTCATCAATGCAGGGTCTGGGACTCCTGAAGACCTCTGGTCCCTATCTTGAATGTTTTTTGGGCAAGAGGCTGGGTATGCCTCAGACTGCTGACCAGTCCATCTCATGATGACACAGAGATACACAGGTAAAATAACCTCATCTCTCCCCCAAAAAATAAATAATGCAGGAAGACTCTCATACCAAGAGTCAATTTTAGAGCTAATTTTTGTGTTTTGGATTAACCCAGAGTACATGAAGAAACACAACACAAGCAAAGGAAGAATATGCAAATTGCATGGAGAAACAACCCTGGTCAGGATTCAAACTTGAGACTTTGTTGTTGCAATAAATAACCAGCAGAGTAACTGCATGTGTTGCTTGTCCCTGTTTTTTTTCTCTCCCTTTCTGCAGGTGTAGAATCAGACCTCTAGGGTGCTCTCTAGTATTCTCTTCATCCTTCTGTTTCTCCTCTCTTCTTATCTCCTTCTTTCTATTTTAACTTTTGGTCCCACTTCTGTCCCTTTTTTGTCATATCCTTTGATTTATTGGGCCAAGATTTGATGATTTTTGAGACCAAAGGAGGAAGGTGAACTAACTATAAGAAGCCATTCTGACATAACTTAGCTCTGTGACAATGAGCTAAGTTGGAAACGTGGAACTGGGGTCTATTTGTGTTAATTAATCAGACGTACCAAGTAAAGTGTACATGAGCGTAGCTGACAAACAGATCACTTTTGAAGATTCTTTCTCTGGAAATTTTCTCCTAACTGAGATCTATTAAGGTTATGCATGCAATCTGGAAAAAAAAATCAGCAAAGTCCTTGTCAAGCTAATTCTCACATGTTGCAAAGAGACAATTAAAAGACCCTAACCTGATTTTCGTATGTGTCCTCTTGGTAGCGGACGGGCAGGTCAGACGCATGGACGTTCAGGTAGATGCTGTTGTCACAGGCAATGCCCCAGCAGCACTGCTGAGCTGCTGTCACCCGCTTGAATTCCAGGTGGGCTTTGCGGCAATGCTCCCATTGCTGTCCCACAGTGGACAGGCTGTAGACACGCCCGTACACGTCCACTGCCCACAGCAGGGACACAGGCATGGCTTCACCCGTACCTGGAGACAAGCAGCAAGAAAATTTTAGTTTTTTTATATATACATGGTGCACAGTGTTTAACAAAACTACACAAACATGAGCAAAATGTACCAAACTTTTATCTGTATGTTCATTACAGATATAGGAAGAATAATACAGCATTGTAGTTTTCGCAAAAAAATCATTCTGATTTCCGTGATGAAACTTGCAACAGGAAAAAGGAGCAAAGGGAAGTCATGAAAACCCTCATGTGATCATAACTTCATTCTCATAATGTGGTTTCCATAGTAATTCTAAAATTTATATTCATTCATCTGATAGACATACTCTATGTCCATCTCATCCAAATTCATATTCGCAGAATTCACATCACACAAAAGCAGCATGTCTTGTTTAGACACAGCCATAGAAACAACTAAATGAAGGCTACTTTATAGAGCTTCTGATGGATATTATTAGGGATATTATTAGCCAGATGGTTCTAATCAAAGTCACTTAAACAACTGATCACCAGCAGGCAGGACCACCTCAAAAATGAGGGAATTTCCTTGTTGGCTGTTTGCTAGCACATAAACAGTGGCTGTAGTGAAGCAATTGCTGCCAACAATTTAAGAAAGTTACCATGGACATTGTCATGTAAAACAAAGTGAATCATTCTAGAAAGGCAAATCAGAAGTTGAAAACATTTAAAGCATAAAGTCACCAATCTTCTCAGCAGTGGAAGTCACAGCAAATTCTTCAAACTTCAGACAATTCAGCAGTCAAATAATTTAACCTCCTCCCCTAAAATGTTAATTATATTTTACATGGACATCTGTTACCATGACAAATGTTCAGATCCATGACATTACAATTACAAGCCTGAGAAAGTACCGCTTGTAGAAAGGTTGCAAGGAGATTCTCTCTACAAAAACTATTAAATGTTTTGGATAGTTTCACCTGAGTGTACAATAAAACTTCTTGAGACAAAGGCCAATGTGACTGCTTCAAGTTATCCTGTATAACTGTAGTTTGAAAAGAAGCAAAATCACAGGGTCTACTGAGTTTTATATCAACACTTCTAATTTTGGTCTAAGAAATCCTTTTCCTTTATCACTTTGCTTTATCACATGCTTCAAGATTATTTTTGTTACTCTGAGACCAAATCTGTACTGAGTAGGTGGGGTTGTGTGTTGAAGGGCTGTTTCTGGCTCTTGCTTCATAAGTCTCACCTACATTTTGTTGATGTCACATAACTAAACTGCATTATTAAAGTTTGCTTCCTCAAGATAACCTGCTGTTTTTATCCCTACCAGCTCTTTCTTTAAAGATACAAAAAGGTCATTGATATGAACTGTGTATTCTGCAAACTCTATAAAGAAGATCTGCATAAGTTATTCCAGTTTGATACTTTTTCACTTATTTTCTGGCGAGATATTTGTACATTCATTTTCAACAACATTCTCAACAACTTTTCCCTCGCCTATGCTGACATTAGGGCTGGACGATATGACTGAAAAATGTATCATAATGAAAGCATTTCATATCAGTCGATAAAAATAATTATTGATTAAACAATCATGCATGTACACACCCATACCCAAGGAGAATTTTAGGAGATCAATCAACCTGACAGTCATATTTTTGGATTGTAGGAGAACCCTTCTATGCACAGACAGAACTTTCAGAAAGACCCCAGGCCGGGATTCGAACCCAGGTCCTTCACTGCAAAGCAACAGTGCTACCAACTGCAACACTGTGCAGCCCTTATTAGACGTATTATCTATTGATACTGATCATGGCTTATCGAGATATTGTTAATGATATTTTTGTCCACCCCTAGCGAGCGTGTTGTTTAAATTCTTATTCTACTAATAAAACAGATCAATTGTATATCATCAGCCTATTACTATTATTACTATTTATAAATCCAAATTTTTCAAATCATACATTTTCCTTCTTAATTTTTTTAAAGAGGAGTTTAAGCAATGTATTACAACACTTCAACATTCACAAAATAATACTAAAGTTGATATGTGCACTCTCTAACATTCTGGTGAATTGATTTTCATTTCTACCTGCTGTATAACCCTTGGCGTTACTGTTTTGTTATAAATTCTTTCTGTGTTTGTGATTTTGATTTTGCTGTTTTTGCCAGCAGATTAATTGAAAAATAAAAAGTTGGTTTCCTCAGATTTCAGTCTACACTTGGAAAATTACAAACTGCTTTCAGTTACAGGTAAAGTAAAACATGGGATGCATTTAATGCTAAACTGTATCTTAAATGTATGTCACGCTAATTATAAAACATATGATACCTAATTTGGCTGCGCACAAAAGTGACGTACATTCGGTGCGTGAGGTTGGTTACATTGTAACAAGCTAGCTGTATGTCAACACCCTGTCAAGATAAGCCTCATTTACAAACAAACACAAGAATAATTTTTCCAAACAACTGTAAACTGTAACCTAAAACTGGCTTCGGAGTATCACGACACGACAATTCTTATGTCTGGACACGGTTAACCATAAAAAGTAAAAGTGACAATATTTAAATTTAACGAACCTAGACCCGCCTATAAAATGCCAGCCGGTGCAGGTAGCAGGTCGTCGCTCTTTCTTCTAACAGCAGAAATGAATGGGCAGCTGGTCATATCATGGTGTGTCAAGTGGCTGCTAATATTAACATCCTAGTATCTACCTGCTATAAAACCGGAAGCAGTTGTTCCTTAAATTCTATTGGCTTAGTTGTTTACAACGCAGACCTCCAATAGAGGGCGCTCCCTGCTCAGATTTTACAAGTAGGTTGTTGAGTTCACTTTTCAGCAAGATTCAAATACTATGCAAGTTTTCTGCTCAAAATTGTTAAACTTTTTTCAACTTTATTTACTTTCTTAATTACAAACACAAATAGAAAACGAACTGGTATATTTTATTATGTTATATAGCTGGTTGACTGATTGAAGATGGTTGAAAATAACACAGATTAACAAATTATCTGACTATCCTAAATTGTGCAGTACTTATAGCTCATATGATTTCCCTTGCTTGTAGATGTTACAAAAATACACAAACTCAGTAAAAATTAATCAGATGTTTTAATGGGCAACATCATCAACGTATGGCTGCCACGCTGACACTTGGCAAACGTCCTTTGCCACATCTTTCATACTTTCACAAAATAATAATAATCACAGCAATAATTATGTTTTTGTTTTTTTTTAAAGAAAACCCTTTGGAAAACCTAGAGATATCTTTAGACCACTTTATAAGAAGGATTGCTCTTACAAGTGTGATTTAAAACCGTTTGAGATTGTATTAACAACACAGAATGATATTTTCTTGCTTTTATTCCTGTTAATTTCAATGATTTTCTGCTTACGGCTATTGAATAAATAACATTAACGATTGGAATATTCCATCAAACCGAAAAAAACATGACTAAAACAGAAATATTTAGTTTAATATACATATTAAACTTAATGAAGAGTTTAATATGCTTGATAAAGGTTATTTTCAGAATGTTGTTTTAACTCGACAGAAAAGCCTCATAGGCTCGCGTAATTTATCATATTGAAGCAAGAAAGGAAGTTTGACTCCAGAGACTTGCCGTTGTCTCAGCTCCGCCTACTCCTATAAATAACAGCTGCGCCTACCCTGTAGTTCTTCCCTTTCATTAATCGCAGAGTGGATTGTCTGGTTGCTTCAGCGGAGCTTCACTGTCGAGGTAATGCCACAAAATCATGCCTTTTTTGCAATTTTTAGAATTATTTTTCAGTGTTTCATAATTTGCTTGACTTCACCTTATTTCCTCTCAGGTTTTTGGCACTTTGTTCAAAAATCTATTTATAACGCCTTTAAAAATGAGTTCACACCTCTTGTGACGAGTTTAAATCTTGAACATGCATTTTGACTGCTCGCGCTCCTATCCGGTTCCTGTGTCGCTAAAACAGAAGAGTCTGACTGCAAGCAGCGGAAACAAAGGGACCATGTGGCTGTTAAGAAAGGCCCAGACCTTCCCTGATAAACTATGCGGAACTGTCCTCTTTATTTACTGCAAGTTCAAATTTGCGACCACCATCCCTGTCTGGAAGAAATCTGATAACGAGACACTTCCTGTGAAGGATGACGCTGGTGTCCGCCTGCCCAGCTGTCCAGGAGAATGCCGAAGCAGCCGGCGGATTTAGAGCTCACTCCTCTGAGCAGGCAGGCAGGCAGGCAGCGCTGCTAAAGTCCAGGCCCGTGCGCACCTATCAGTTTTTGCCGCGTGACTTCACGTCACAATACAGGAAGGAAACTATTGAAAATCATGAATGTTGATGTGGTGACGGCTATCATTTATTTTAACGCAACTTTACTAGAAGAAAAAAAAATTAAAATATCTTTTACTGTGCGCTAAACGAGTAACTTGCGCTTGTAGCCGTGAACCAAGTCGCAGATTGCGAATAATGATCTCTTCCACTTGAGCGCTGAACACCACCCTGCTCCATCAGAGATTTAAATCTGCAGGCACACTATGCGACTTCTGTCCCGATTCTCTGTCGGGTTGTCTAGATCAGTCTGCTCAGCAACTCTGAACATTTATCTGTCACTGTGGGACGTGAAGACCACACCTCAAAAATAAAAAATCAACGTACGTGTTTATTTTTTTTTGTCTTTATTGCGGTGGAAATGATACAAACCGTCACCCATCAAATTATAATCATATAGTGTTAAACAAAAAAACAGACACTTAAACTCAGTGGGCAACGAAGGGATTTATTGAAATAAGCCAAAAAAATTCACACATTGAACATCTGTGGGCTTAACTTTGACATTTCTTAATGGAATGTTTTCCACATATAGTAAACCTGTTCAATATGGGTACCCAAACATGTTTAAGACCGAAATAACCGGGGATGCACTGATAAATCGGTGCCATTTTCTTAATTTTGGGACATTGTGATCACTCACTCACTTGCTGATCTTTTCCAATGATTTCATCTTCCTTAGCAAAGGTCTAAAAATCAGCCAGTGTCCTCTTTCTCACTGCTATGAGAGGTTTGACTGATAGACCCACCAGGTCATGTTTACAATTAACAATAGTCATTCTACTCTTGCAAACTCCATGACTGTAGTTTCAGACAAAAAAAATCAGTATAGACCAAAATATGAATGACCAGGTCAGGCTTTTTAAAAGATCTGTAATCTGTGACTGGCCAGAAAACGACAATTGATGCACTCCTAGAAATAACCTTATCGATTATAGCCAATATTGTCATTTGAAAGCACATGAACGTTCTCATGTAAATCTTCAAAACTCAAAATGCATAGAACACATAATGAAATCATTCATTTATATGCTAAACTTATCTTTCAAATCTCATCTCTTTGATTTTATGTGGGAGTGGAACAGAGTGGGTACAGTCGGTGTTCTCTAACTCAGGGGTTCGGGGGGGCGGTGACTTGCAGCTTTTAGACGCCTCTCTGCTTCAGCACACCTGACTCCAGCATAAGCTCATTAGCAGAGCTCTGTCCAGCTTGACTGCATGCTGGTGAGGTAGTTTAGCCACTTAATTCAAGTGTGTAGGAGAAAGGGCCCATCTACGGTGCCGGACACCCCAGCCCTCAAGGACCGGAGTTCAGCCTCCATTGTTGTACAAATGGAATATCTTATATTAGCACCGAATGACGCTTTATGACAACAGTCATAAATATTCATGAAGGCTTATTCATGTTCATGACAGGTGTTATGTCATGTTTATGAAAGTGTCTTGACAGTCTTATTCACCCCCCTTCAAATAAAGTGTTACCATTAGCACCACCTACTGTTACATTTGCAGCCTGATCTCTTAGCAGGTCCAGTTCAATGGGATTCAGTCTTAATCTTTTCATAATCTCTTATGTTTCCCAGTAGTATTTAAAAAGAAAAGTGGAATGTATGCACTTAATTTAGTAAATATAACTGCTACAATTTACGATGACAAACTGCTTTATTTTTAGATGTAGCCCCATTTTATATAAACATATCTTGATTTATAATGTACCATTTTTCTCACCACTTTATTTTGAATCATCTACCTTCTATTTGCTTTAAGATCTTGGTCTGTTGAGTAAAACATTTGGCACCAGCATTAACAGTCACACTCCCTTTGTTCCCTCTAAAGTCACTTTAGATAATACTGCAGTGTTTATTAGGAACAGTTACAAATGGGGATTAAGCTTGAGCTCTTGGCATCATGGCAAAGCTTCAAAGGTGGAGATAATAGTTAGCAGTAGCTCTCTTCATTCTGTGATCTATGACTGTGTGTGTGTGTGTGTGTGTGTGTGTTGTGCTTTATGCAATTTAGAATTGGAGCAGCACTTTATTCTGGGCCTAACAGCTTGTGTCATTAGACAAGGAAACTCCTGCTCTATAGAACTAACCAGTTTGACTGGAAATGCTGTAAATAACAGTTATGTCTGTATGACTGAATTGAATATTGGGGGAGGAACATTTACTGTAGAGACTGTAAAATGAATGAACAGGAAGTTGTCTATAGCTTCCCTGGCAGGTAACACCTAAGCTTTGACCCTGTGTGGGTGTGGCTGTTGGTAGCTGCCGCTCTGTTCTGTCCGGGTGTCTGATCCTCATTGACCTAAGCGGAGCGTTCCTCGGCTCGATGGGGACGGTTCCCTCGTCAGCCGGCCCCCCAGCTCCTCGTGCCAAATGCAGCCCGGTGCTGTGAGTGACCGCCAGGCTGGTTCCTCCGGTCCACCCCAGCTGTCCTGACCACCTCCCCTCTCCACCCCCACTGAGTCGCACTGTCTGCTGCTTCGTTTCAGAACCATGGCCGACCTGCAGGAGCGTACCTTCATCGCCATCAAGCCCGACGGCGTGCAGCGCGGCATCATTGGCGAGATCATCAAGAGATTCGAGATGAAGGGCTTCAAACTTGTTGGCATGAAGATGCTTCAGGTGAGGACAGACCTGAAGAGCTCAAGTCTGTTATTTTGAGCCACATTCACATGACTGCAGAGGGCACCAGCAAAGACCTCTGGAGAGCTGATTAGCCATCTGATCTATTCCTGACTGCAGAGAGCCAGCTGGACCCCACTGCAGCTTTTAATCATCTGATCTGGAACGGAATGCTGTTGATCATGTAGTCAGTTTAATTTCTACATCAGGGTGATCTTTTTGGATCCAGTGTGGTGTGAATAAAGTGCAGTTCTGGGTGACTGAGGTTAAGGGATTAAAGTAGCTGCTCAAGTGAAATCCTTTAGTCAGTAATGTGCTGAACAGATTGAGCAGCAGAGGTCTCTTGGTATGTATGGACAAGGATTTGGATTATTGGACCCTCTCTGGCGCATGTGGAGCCAGCTTCCCCAGACAGGCCTTCTTTTTCTGCACCAAGTATGATCTCTTGCATGGATGTCAGTTTTCATCTGTGATGCTGCAGTGGGATGAGCCAGGGACTTTGTACATTAGAAATGAGATGTATGCAGGATTGTGTAATTCCTTCAGTAATCGGATAATGGCATGCTTTCAGCAGATGTGCCCTCTGCCACCGGCACCTTTTTTTAGCAGAACTGTCCCTGACGCGTTCATGCGCAGATCCCAGCCAGCACTGAGGTCACATCAGGAATCTTCAAGTTTTTTTCCGGTGTTATAATTTAAAAGTACATGATCAAAGGGGAGCTTAAAAATGATTTGAAGCATTTTTCTATAATTGCTTATACATTGTAGTAATTGTATTTTGCTTCT